ATTAATTTTTATTTGTATTTATATTTTCTTTATTTATAATACTAGATTATCTAGTAAGTGAACACTAAAATGCTTTATTAACTGTAATGTGAATTTCATTTACTTTCAGATACTATATTTCTGATGGTTAATTAATTATACTTCAAGTGTGTATATATAAAAAAATGTTTAAAGGAAAAATATTTAAATTAATAATCTTTTATTTACTTTGTTTATATGTGGGATTGCAGATTATTTATATGTATTTTCAAAAGTAATTCGAAATAGTTTTGTGAAAATAAGAGGAATTTCGTAGTATATTAAAAGATATGCTCTAATATTCATAAGTATATTTCTATATAACATCAGGAAAAAGTCTATATTAATGTACAATAATTAAAAATATAATACTAAACATTATTAAATTCAATGAATATGAGCTGTAAGAGGTTAGGAAATTTCAATGTTAATATGATTGGCAAGATGGCGCCTCTCGAATACCCAGCGTGCCCCGCGCGATTGATTTGCGCATGTCAGTTGTTCGCATTGCAAATGGCGGCTCCTTGTTATTGTTCATGGCGTTTTATGACTTGTCCCTTTATATTACCGATTATGTCGAGTTTTTTCGTGATTCCTACCGCGCGTTGTGTGCAGAAAGTGAAATAAGACTTGCGCGGCATATTTTAGATTAAAATTAGTGCTCCAGTGGTGTGGCTGCGTACATTTCGGACGCGAGAAATCCCGCACGAAGTTGGAAAGAAATGGGGTAACGTTAAAATTTTCTTGTGTTCATACGGTATCAAATCGTTCAGTGCAAAGACTGAAGTGAGGCTCGTTGGTCAATGTGCTGTTTATTATTAAATTTTAACTTTGGTTTGGTAAACGTACGCGGTTGTGAAACATATAGGAGGGCTGCGAAATAAAAATGTTCAGACTTTTGACGGTCTATCTTGAGCATGCTTGAGACCACTTCACGTACACCTCCCCCGATGTACAAAATGGAGGCCCCCCCGATATCCAGTGCTCTAGATGACTATTTTGCCGAAAATGATTATGGAAATTATCAAAATAAACTACCGCTATATCAAAATATTGAATATCGAATAATGCTATAATCAACAATTCGCGACTGGTAAAAAAAAGTATTCTATAACCTATTTTCTTCCGTATAGAAGTTGTGTGCCCCCGTCTTATGGCCCAAAAGATTTTAATTGTAGTCCGTGAGTGGTAAGACTTAATCGAAAATCATTTATTTTATATACTTTCGTCCAGTTGATAAATATTGAGGATGTAATTGATATTGAGAGTATAGTTTTTTCATTAATAGCTATAATTTCATGGAAATCGCGATCAAATTATAACCTAGTAATGCTCATTGGCCTCACTTTTTGTTTATGCACTATGTTTTTGTGAGTGTTTCGTTTCGATAACACTTGTCAATTTTATGTTCAGATTTGATGTTTTAATGTTCTATTTGTATATGATCGATTAGCAAATGTGACAATAATTTGGTTCATTCTGTTATACAATTTGTTTACAAAATATCTTGTCAAAATTATATCTTCAGTATTTTTATAGTTTTTTATGTACAAATAAGTGCTATTTTGACAGTATATTTCAAAAATTACTAACGTAATAGAATATAGTCATATTTTTAATATTCTTAAATTTAATATTAATAATGTAATAATAAAAAACATTTATATATATTTTCTTATATTTAAAATTTCT